ACACAGTGATTGCTGGATATGGGCATCAGTGATCCCCTGTGACCCAAAAAGAAAGAAGCGGGTAAAGATAATGGATGGATGGATGTTTCAATATTATTTCTGTGTTAGTTCCACACAAGCTCAGCAACTACAAACATTATTCTGTTCAACCATTTAACATTTTGTTAAATATTTAAAACACCAGCAAAGAGAAATCCACAGATTGAAGAAGTCCTTTGGATGAAGGATGAATCATCTCAGCGTGAAAATAAACCATCCAGATGAACTGACTGAACATTGTTAGATTTCCTGTACCTTGATTATTGAGCATGAACTTTGGTGTTTTGAACCACTTGGGCATGAGTGTTTCAGAGGAGTTGATGTGGGAGAGGGTGGGCCCCGGAGTCCGTCATCACCAGCAAACTGTGTTTTTCCACTATGGGAGTGAGCTGTTTGTGGGACTCAGTTTGTTGATGACTTCTCAGATTGAAGAAGTCCTTTGGATGAAGGACAAAATGTCTCAACAACTAAAAAAAAAAAAACTCTCCAGATGACCTGACTGAACATTGTTGGATTTTTACCTGGATTATTGAGCATGAACTTTGGTGTTTAACAAAATACCATGTTTTCAGTCATTTCAGTGTTTTAGTTGAATTTGCACAAACTAGAAATAAATTAGTTGTAAAAATAAAAGGCATGTACTGACTGAGGAAGTCTCTTGGATGAGAGACGAAACGTTTCTAGATTTTTTTGCTTTGTTTTGTTTTTTGTTTTTTTGAATGTCCAGAGGACCAGATTGAACTTTTTTGGATTTTTCTACCTGGATTATTGAGCATGCATCAGGATAAAGGCATGTACTATTTTGACAATAACTATTTCCCTAATGCTAATGCTTTAGCATCTCTTTAAACTGTTTATGCCTGATTTTAAATTATAGTCTAAAACAATTGTGCCAATTGAAAACAAGACATGGACAAAATGAAGCAGCGTTGTATTTCCAAATTCTTTAATTTATTTTAAAGGCCTATACTTTTTACTCTGCATCTCTTTTCTTTTCTACTGTCTCTGGCCTTTCTGTTTTATTGCAGCTGCCTCATAAGTGGCTGAAAGATTCCTTTCATATCTGGGATTTGTTCTCACTATAAATAGATGAGTGATGCACAGAGGGGACCTGCTTTCTATCCACACTCATCCACTTCCATGGACGCACGCAGACACGAACCAAAACATAGTTAAACACTGCAGTGAGCGTTTCACACGTTCCCATTTTAACATATTTTAACGCTCTTTAAAACTAGTTTTTTAGTAAAATTTGCCAAGTTATATAAAAATTAGGATGCTACTAGTCAGCTTTTCTTCAAAATTAGTCTTTAAACTATATCTTTACAATAAAATGTTGGATCAAACTTCTCCTAATCATCAACCTCTCATATGTCTTAGATACAACCCTGTAGAACAAGTACCTGTTTATACTGACAAGTTGGATTCTACAACCAGAAAGATACACTCAAAAAACAAGCTTTACATATAAAACTTTCATCTTCATAAAACCCTGTAACTTACGTCTTGCAAACACTTTCCAATATCAGTGACTGAAATTGACAGTGGCCTATTTCTGCCTCTCAAACATACAGATGCAGAAGTAAGAATGACAGTTTTCAAAATTCTGACTGATACACAATCAACATCTTGTAGATGAGGAAGATAATCAGACTGAATTAAAGATGTGTGAACGTGTGCATGCCATCTTACCTCCTGTGGCTGCTCTGTCCTGCCTTGTGCTTTCTCTGAGGTCCTCTTCAGCTACCTGACCTGCTTTTGCTTGCCCTGATTGGCTCGGAAAGACACTAAACTCCTCCCTGAGTGGAACCCGACCCAGCATCATAGAAGTTAAATGACTGTTCAGTTGGGCCTGTGAATGTGTATCCTTCTGTGTAAATGCACATTTCCACCTACCTTTTTGGGTTTAACCAGAATTAGCCTCAAATTAGTCTGTTTTCATGTATCAATCCCAGACCACGGGATCCTCCAGGGTCAGTGTTTGCTGACAGCCAGTGTGCTGGGTTAACATAGAGGAGCCTCAAACTGTAGGTGTGCTATGCATTTCAAACTATGCAAATACTTTCCACACTTTCCCATTTGGTGGCAAAGAGAATCAGACATATTACAGGTAGACCGCTTACCTCCGAGTTTGGCAAATTTCATTCAACCTTTATTTCTACAGGTAAATCCCATTGAGCCTCGAGGACTCATTTACAAGAGAGACCTGATTTAACAAAGAAAGATGAAACAATGGACAACGGTGACAACAATAAACAGTTATAAAAAGTCATAGTGCAGTTTTATTTTATTTTTTAAATGTTTTTTTACAAATAGGATGACTAAAAAAAGTGGTAACAAAAAAAAAACAGCTAGATTCTAAGGCGAACGTAGAAAACTAAAAACAGGAACATGTCAGCATTGGTCCCTGCCAGGAGTCCAACAGATTCTTAAAGACACTTAGAGAGGTCAAAGGTCGAGAGCTTCAAATCTTTTTACAAGATATTCCAGGAAACAGGAGCGGAGTAGGAGAAGGTCCTTTTGCCTAGTTCAGTCCTCACTGAGGGAACACTGCAGGTAATGATGTCCTGAGAGCGCACGCTGTAACTGCACTCACACAGAGACATGTAGGAGGAGATGTATGAAGGCAGCAGACCAGGAAGTGATTTAAAGATGAAAATGTACCAGTGAGAGAGTTGTACTTAATGTACTCTTGCTGTAACCTACTGTTTCGTGCAGAAGTTTGGAAGAAGTTTACATACATTCAAACTTCAATGCTCTGTCATTCCTCACAGCAATGTCTGTCCCAAATACATACAGTGACAAACCTCACATGAACAGGAAAAATGTGTGGTTCCAACTGTGGGGAATCAGTGGGTTATCACCATTACTCTTACCCTGATATCATCTTTCTTTTGTCAAAGTCAAAGTTTCTTTATTTGTCTTTTGCCCCACATGTGGGGTGGAACAAAATTGTGTACACAGGGTCCCAGGGATTCGTGAGTCTAACAGCTTCAGGGTAGAAGCTGTTCCTCAGTCTAGTGGTTCTGCACTTAATGATCCCAAACATCTTGCCTGAGGGGAGCGGGGCAAAAAGTGTGTGTGCTGGGTGAGTGTGGTCCTTCATGATGCAGGTGGCCCTCTTCCTGCATCTGGAGGTGTAGATGTCTGTGATGGTGGGGAGGCTGACTCCAACATCTTCTGTGCAGCCTTCACCACTCTCTGCAAAGCTTTTCTTTCTGCAGCTGTGCAGCCTCCATGCCACACGTTGATGCTGGAGCACAGGATGCTCTCCACTGCACACCTGCATAAGGAGGTGAGGACTGAGCTTCCAGACCAGCTCGTCTCAGCCGTCTGAGGAAGTAGAGTCTCTGATGAGCTTTCTTCATCAGGCTGGTGGTGTTGTTGCTCCAGCTGAGGTTGTTGTTCAGGTGCACACCCAAGTAGCAGGAGACCACTTCCACCACAGATCCTGACACATTGAACTGAACACAGAGTCAAAGTGTCTTATGAAATTTAATGTTTTGAGGACTATTTCTTCACATTTTTCAGAGATCATCTTTGGACCGTTAATTCTCTCCTTTCAGGTCAGAACTTGACCATTTTCAGATAAAACAGCTTAAAAACTCTAAAGAGATGAACAAGTGTTGTGTGAGCACATAACAAATGAGCAAAGGACCACTTTTAAATCTGCTTTGTTGCCAAGCAGTTTATTACAAAAACTCAAGTTGCTCCCATTTCTTTGAATGACTCTAAAATTAGTTTCACCTTATAGCTAATAAAATAGTATTTTAACCCTAGGGAGGTGATGCTCCAGTGGAATTCGTCCTATTCCGAAGAACAATAATTCCGACACCATTCTACTTGTTTATAACCCTGACACTTCTTCTTTTGTTTTCCACTTGTTTGTTTTTCCTAATTATTACACTGTGCTTTGTGTTGTCATCATCAGGTACAAGAAATGAACATAAAATGAGTAAAAGTCCAAACAAAAAACTTAGATTTGTCAAAGGATGTATTTTTGACACAGTGATAATGTCACAACATATCCTGATGCAATAATCTGTACTTTCTACCTCATGCTACTAAAGATTTGTTCACATATGGCCATAAAAACACTTTTACTGTTCAGATAACTGTTGGAAGGCAATAGTTTCTTTACAACATATGCTATTAAGCTTATTTTTTCAAGAGTAAATATATGTTTTCTGCTTAATACCATTTACTTCAATTTTACACCAGTTCTTATAGGATCAGCTGTGCATCATGCACTTAAGAATCTTTACATTCCCAATGAACACAGCATACCTAAACATTATGAAGGCTCTTGATTTGGATGTAAAGTGCAGCAAGAACCAATCGGCTTGTGATCACGTGTCGTTTTATGCTCTGCTGGTTACATTTACTGCTTAATGACTCATAATGTGAGCTGCTTGTCATGGCATACTTATTCCAACTATGTTTATGGAGCTCATTAAAAAAATAATTAAATTATATTTACCTTTTATGTGGTTGAAATCCAATACTCAAACACATTTTAATATTTATAGCTGTAATCCATCAAAAATAGAAAAATAAAACTATGCAATGTTTGATCTCTGCTAGATGGGAATATAAAGCCTATTGTTTTTGTTCTTTCTGTCTGAAACTACACAAAATCAAAAGCATTTGTCTTTTGAGGTGATATTTTTATTTTGAGTGCAGCCTACAGAAAAATAAAAATAAATGAAAAATAGATCATATGGTTATAAAAAGCCTGTGCATTTTGTTATTTGACAGTGAAGAAGTAGGAAAAGTAGTTCGCCGCTTGATGGCGCCAGTGCGCTGTTTGGATGCTAAATACAAAGAAGAAGAAGAAGAAAGGACCGGGTGTTTTTGTCCATTTGTCTCTAAAACAACCCACCAGTATGTCTCATTTAAAGAACAATGTGGACATTCCTGCGGGTTTAAAGACGTCTGACCGCGGCTGACTGCGTGGCGGAAGGAGCGATGGAGGGGTCGTTGTTCGGTTGGACGGTTCCGCGGAGAGTCCCCTAACATCTGCACCACCATGATCCCCGTGTCCCTGCTGGTGTGCGTGATGGCAGCCTGGTGTGCTGTGTATCTGGCCGACACGCTGCTCAGGGTAAACATCTGACTTCCTGCTTTTCAACCTGCACACCGTCGTGCCAAAGGCCCGCGGCAGCTTCAGCGTGCTGCCTTCAGGGCCGCGGTGCGTTCAGGACCACTCATTGACTCTGGTTCACTTTTTAATTATCCCTAATTATTTCCAGCTGTGCTCAGAAACAGAGGTTCACTTTTTAATTATCCCTAATTATTTCCAGCTGTGCTCAGAAACAGAACGATACAATGTGTGGCACCTTTCTGACTCAATGTAGTGGAGGTGTAAAGCTAGTTTAGGTTAGCAACATGCTATGTGCACTGTAAGTTATAGCTGTATCTTTGCTTTGTAGCAGGTTATTGGCTCTTATTAATTTAGCTTTACTTTTCAATATGTGCACATAAAATGTTCTTGAAAATATACAAACAATAACTTGCTCACATCTTTAGTTAAGAAACACCACCTCTCTTTCTCTATTCAAGACTGCTCTGAAAACACATCTCTTTACACTCGCTTATCCTTAACTTTGCTCTATGTATTTTATATTCTGTATGTATTTTATATTCTTTACGCATTTTATATTCTTTATGTATTTTATATTCTTTATTCCTGTTGATCTTTGTTCTTAATGTAAAGTGTCCTTGGGTGTCATGAAAGGCGCTTTTTAAATAAAATGATTATCATATTATTATTATTATTATTTAGTTGCTGAGTAATAGAAAACCATAGCTGTAATCAAAGTTCATGCTCAATAATCCAGATAAAAAAAAAAACAACAAAGTTCAGTCAGGTCATCTGGACAGTTTCTTTTTTATAGAGACGTTTCGCCCTCTATCCAGAGGGCTTCATCAGTCGGATGAGTTCCAGTAAACTGTTTCCCCACCAGACAGTAAACTCCTTAGGGGTGCATTCACAGCAGCCCTGTTTAGTCGCTTTAATCCAACTCTAACTCGTTTTCCTAGAAAGTCCAGTTTGTTTGGGGAGGTGTGAACGCGCCATCGAACTCTGTCATGGAACAAGAAGGCGAACTCTGGCCCGGGCTAAAACCTAGGTCTGGGTCCGGTAGAAGAGAACTCCAGCGCAGTTCCAGTACAGTGTGAATGCAAACAGACCGGACCCGCTCCACAGGACAAACAAACACACATTTCTCTTATATGGAGCCGTCAGCTGACTTGTGTGAAAAACAATATTCTCCATGGTCTTCTGTCTCATCTTCTGCTCATGCTGAGTCCATTGTTGAAAAATGACAAAATATAACTCCTAAAACTGATAAAACTTGATGCCACTTCGTTTTTATTTTTATTTACAGAAGAAGAAGAAGAAGACGTGTCTTTAGAGGTTTTTGTGTCGTTTCTTTCAGTAGTTCTTGGTGCAGCGCCCCCACAGGCGAGCGGGGGAACAGGTTGGTTCAACAGGTTGACTCAACAGGTTGGTTCAACAGGTTGGTTCAACAGGTTGCTTCAACAGGTTGACTCAACAGGTTGCTTCAACAGGTTGGTTCAACAGGTTGACTCAACAGGTTGCTTCAACAGGTTGGTTCAACAGGTTGGTTCAACAGGTTGACTCAACAGGTTGCTTCAACAGGTTGCTTCAACAGGTTGCTTCAACAGGTTGACTCGACTGCACAGTGACGATTTAAAGTTCCCACAGCGAGGACCAGACCTTCACACTGACTCTGAAGCTTTTCCATGGCCGAAACTGCTGCTGCTGTCTTCTTCAAAAGTCGATAAAACAGAGCCCCGCCGATGCCAAAAAGCAGAGTCCCTGTTATCATAATTCCAAATGTGTAAATGTCTTCAACATCCTCCTGAGACAGGACTGAGAGACACATCATCTGCCACGCTCCCCACGAATCCATGACGTACCCCACAGCGTGAGTCTCAGCTGGACACGCCGGTTCTCCAGGACCTTGTCGCTTTGATGAAAAAATCTTATCAATAGAGTTGAACGCCCACGATACCAAATCCATAATCTTCTTAATTTATGTTCGGGAGATGAGACCCAGGCGCTTCAGACACACAGAGAGCAGAGCAGGAAGAAGGAAAAACAGGGGAGGAAAGACAGAAGCAGCCACCTCGATGAGAGCCTGGGATGAAAAAAAAAAGTTCCAACTTGGAACTCGAAAATTTCAACTAACGACTTCCAAGTACAAATGGACCGCACCATTAATGTTTTGTGGCAGTTTTGGGGAAAATTAATGCACTTTAATAGTGGGGAAATCTAATAGGTTTTCTGGTTGTGGGTATTTTTCTCTCCTGCAGTCGTCCAACACACACAGGATCAACTATGAGTCATGGCTGGCCAGTCGAGGGCTGATGGTGTCTCCTTTCCACGTAAGATGGCAGACCACGATGTTCAACCGGCTGTTTGCATACTGCGCCCGCATCAACCCCCGAGTCCTCTACATGTGGTGAGAATCCCTCACTCACTCATAGACTGATGTTCATGGAGTTTTCTCATGCACACTTAAAGACTTCTGCTTTTTTATTTTGAACTCCCTCTGAGGGGAAAAAAGTAAATAATTTTTGTATTAAAATGGCAGAGTTAATTTTGAGATGTAATTGAATATGAATGTTTATGTCTATGTGTTGATGACTTGAAATAATTCCCAATATCTCTGTGTTTCCCAGGTTCAACAGTGGTCTGGTGTTTGGTATTGTAGCCATGCTGGGATCAGTGATTCTGCTGATAAAGACCCTGCAGCAGACGTACGCTCAGATGACCACTGACGACCCTCGGATAGGAGGTCAGCAGGCGCTGCAGGTGGTGGTACGTGGATGTAAGGCATTTTACACAAAACTGAGATCTGGTTAAAGACAAGTTAAGTAACAGGTAGAACTTGCTTTCAAATATTAGTTTTGTTACATATGTCATGGTTTGCGTCTCCCCTTTGTTTATCAGAGTCAGTTACTGCAACTTGGTGAATAAAAAGCTATAAATTATTCAAAGGTCTTTTCTATTTCCTTTAATTATTCTGAGGATATTAACATGTGCACTACAGTAGTCCCTCAATTATCGCGGGGTTTACGTTCCAGACACCCCTGCGATAGGTGAAAAAACGTGAAGTAGGAACACTATATTTATTTTAGTACTGTATTTTTCGCCATATAAGTCACACCTTTTTGCATACATTTGCAAGTGCTTCATAGTGATTTATACACCGAAGCGACTAATATACATAATTCCCCCATATTTATAACCATATTTATAACCATATTTATAACCCAATTGTTGGCTGAGATCTGACAATTTCATTCTTTCTGACATGAAAAAATATTAAACACTACCATATGCAGCCACTAGAGAACCCTCAAGTAATGTGGCAAGCAAAGTGTCACATTAATAGGTAAAAGTGACTATTAATGAGATACTTTGCTTGCCATACAAAGACATCATCTCATTCAGTAACTCCTGGAGCAAACGTCAAATCAACTGCATTTTGCCGCACCGCCCAGGTGAAATGCAGCTGATTTGACCATTGAAGTGCATTTATTAAGGAAAAGATCAACTGAGACACACCTTTACTATAATGTCGAGCAAACTAATAATTGTTTTTAGGTGGTTATCTTGTTAAATTTTGAAGAAATGTACAGCGAGTCCTCCCTCTGCACGCTCCCGCAGCCGCAAATCGATTTTTGAGCTGCAGCTGATTTGACTGTCAAAGTGCATTTATTAAGGAAAAGTTAGACTGAGACACACCTTTGCTTTAATTTTGAGCAAACAAATAATTATTTTTAAGTGTTAATCTTGTTAAATTCTTGTTAAAGTCCTCCCATGCATGCTCCCACCATTTGACAGCCAATTGATTTTTGACACAATACCGGCCCATGGGAAAGTATAGTATTTATATGTACATTAAGGCTTTATAAACCCATCCCACACTCTTGCAATGTTCTGAACTCTTAAACCTATGTAATTTTAACAACACATGCTTATGTATTGTACAGTACTATACAATTTGACTCACCAGCTCTGCAGACCAGCAGCTCCGTTCTGGTCCGGCTCAGTTCCGGTTCTGCAGACCTACCCTGCAGCGATGAAGCCCACCACCCCGTCAGGTTGATGTGCACGTGGATAATTGAGCTTCAGGAAGCTTCAGGATTATTTGTGACTTTCCTGCCAGTTCTGTGAGCTTCATAGATAGAGTGTTACTTCTGACTTTGTGTTGCAAAACTTTCCCTCCATTTCCGCAGAAAGCAGCGGCCCGAAGCACTGTTGGCTTCTGGGTAGTGTAGTTCTTTTGACTGGCACTACAGTGTAGGCTTATTAAAAGAAAACAACAAAATGGCGGCTCCTGTCTGAAGTATTTTTCTTTTCGTTAACTTTTCATCCCATACCGTCCCAATCAAGTTGACAATTGTGTGTCATGTACAATCTTACGTTGGAAAGAACGTGAAAGAGCGAGTCTGTGAAAGTTGAACCGTGAAGTAGCGAGGGACTACTGTATATCCAGGTGATTCATGAGAACCTGTTATCTGGATGTTTATGTCTGAAAATTTATTTTGGAGGGTCACAAAATGCTTGGCCCAGCCAGCAGGAGGCTAAAAATGTTATCTTAGTTAGAATGAATGCATAAATAAAATGAATATTTTGAATAAGATGGCCAAAAAACCAAACAAAAAACGTGTCTTTGTAGCAATAAAATAATGTTGAGTTCTAAAGTTTTTTACAAAATAATAAAATGTTTTCAAGTGTTTCTCTTCAGAGCTCTACTTCTTTTTTTTTTTTTTATACTTCTTGTGTATTTTCAGGTCCCAGGTGTCAATCTGCCCACCAGTCAGCTGGCCTACTTCTTCATCGCTCTGCTGCTCAGTGGAGTGATACACGAGCTGGGCCACGCTGTGGCAGCATTGAGGTAATACACAGCCACCTTTACTGTGCTACCATGACAACCAGCAGGACATGCAGCATTCACAGGCGACTCCTCTAGGAAGTTAACGAGTGGCAAATCAGTTAATCCTTATGAACTTTATTTTGAGATTTTTTATTTTATTTTATTAAGGTATCTGGGATTTTTCAACCATATATTTTGTTTTTGAAGCTGTTTAATTTAAGACCTCTGCTGTAATGGATCTGTACAAAGAAGTTCAGTCCTAATGGCTTTTAAACCTTTAATTGTGTTTTATAACGTTTGTAAACTGCCTCTGTGGATGATGAACAGCCTCACCATATTCTAGTAGTATGCTAACAGAGCTGTGAAGGTGATGCTTCGACTTTTGTAGGGTTTACAATAAAATGTATAACATTACACGAGGCTGCCTTTAGTTTATATGTTACACAAATTAAATTCAGCCTTCTTTTGGATATCTGGATTCAATTCTTGTGTACAAAGACACACCAAACAGAACTCCAGAGATTTATTTTGATTTTTGATTTCTATTCCCACTAATAGCTCTCATACATTTACTCAAACTTTT